GCAGATGCCAACAGACTCGATAAACTGATCCGTAAGGCCAGTAGTGTTGTGGGGATGGAGCTGGACTCCCTCAAGGTGGTGTTGGAGAGGTGTCCACAAATGTTGTCCAAGATGAAGACAATTTTGGATAACACCTCCCACCCACTTGTTAATGTTTGTTTATAATGGAGCACTGTAACAAAAAATAATTTCCCCCAGGGATCAATAAAATATTCTGATTTGTTACCTTAGACCATGCCCTCCATATCTACACAGGAAATGGATCAAGTCACAATTACACAGAAAAGAGAAAAAAAACAATCACGCCTAACGTGCTACAAGATAAGATCGAAATGCTTATTGAAGCTTCTAGAAAAAAACCCTCCTTTTCAAACAAAATAATGAAATATTGTGTAATGATTGTGAATGTACATGTTTGAAATAAAAATTAAACTGAACTGAAGTTATTTGTAAAATTCTTTTTACTGACATTTGGCTGTTCATCAGGTAGTAGAGGAGGTCAGTCCCTGACTTTTCCTGTGTGTATGCTGAAGAATTTTTGGATGAGATAATTAAACCCAGGTTGCTCCTGTGAGCACATTAAGTTTAGCAATGTCTTTTTATGTAGAGAAAGCAGGACCACCATCAGGATGTTGTTTCTACAGTACCTAACTCATTATCCTAGCATTTAGTAGAATATTAGATGTGTTTTTGTCCACTTCTTGACAGCAGCTTTTAGTTTTTAATCTGTATAATACGGACAGCAAAACATAGTCTCCAGTGTAAAATTTTACAGCATTTCAGCAAAATCAGTATTCAACAATACAAAATAATCACTGTAAAAATAATTTTTTGGTGATTGTAATCATTCTACTGCCGACACTGGTGTTGAAAGAATGCCTCCCCAATTTTTCTTTCAGCCTGTTATTTCCTTCGGTTTCCTGCAGTTTTTTTTATTCCTTGTTGTTTACATGATTAAATGGCTTTAAAAATATTTTACAAAGTATAATTATGTTGTAGCTGACAGCACAACAAGAAACTTATCTTGTTTGAGGTGAGGCACACAAACCCGGTTTTAGATGACATCCTTCTGACATGTGATTCTGGTAACCATGTTGTCCTGGTCTTGCTTGACCTAACTGGTGCCTTTGACACAGTAGACAACAATATTCTAATTTCTCAATTAAATGATGTAGTGAGTATCGGTGGCACTGCACTTAATTGGTTTAGGTCTTATTTGGCCAAGAGAACTGTCTCTGTCAACCTTCTTGGTTCCGAATCATCTTCTGCTTCTCTGTCATGTGGCGTCCCAAAGGGCTAAATTTTAGTGCCACTACTGTCTTTACTGTATTTATTGCCTCTGGGCTCCCTCCTTAGAAGGCATGGGATCTGTTTTCATTGTTATGCTGTTGACTGCCAAATTTATTTGCCACTAAAGCAGAAGGATGGCATCTCTATAAAACTTCTCTTAACATGCCTAGATGAGATTAAAGCGTGCTTGGCTCTAAACTTTTTACATTTCAATTACAAGGAAACAGAAGTGTTGGTGTTTGGACCCAGTGGTCCCTGTGAGTTCTCCTCTGTTGATTTGGGACCCCTGGAAGTGACCTTGACCTTGGTTTTAAGTTGGACAGTAAAAGAGAGCATATAACCCCTGTCCTGGCCTCACTGCACTGGCTGCCTGTTTCTTTTAGAGTGCATTTTAAAATTTTCATGTTTGTTTTTAAATGCTTTCACAATCTTGCCCCGGCTTTCCTCTCTGAGCTTCTTCATCCCCACAAACACGGTTGGTCTCTCAGGTCAGCTGACCAGCAGCTCCCGGAGGTACCGAGATCCAGGAGGAAGCTCAGAGGGGACCTTTTCTATCGTGGGTCCTAATTTATGGAATAATTTGCCCTTGCACATTAGAGAGGCCCCTTCACTGTCCACCTTTAAATCGCATCTTAAAAAACACTTTTATTCTTTGGCTTTTAACCTCAGTAAGAATTGGTTTCTCTTGTAATGAAAGTAGTTATTTAATTAATTATTTTACTTTTTTGTTTATTTGGCTTTTATTTATATCTTATGTAATTTTATTATATAGCTCCAGTGTACAGCACTTTGTGTCAGCTGTGGTTGTTTTAAAGTGCTTTATAAATAAAGGTGATGATGATGATGATGATGAAACAAGAAATACTTGTGGAACAATCATCCAAGATTCGTTTTGCTGGGTTCATCCTGTGTTTCCACTTTTTCTACTGCTTTTTTTGTTCATGCATTAGGTGTGTCCAGTGTTGTTCAGTTTTGTTTTATCTATTGTTTCAGCTTATACATGTGCTTTACACAAGTCATACATACACTTAACTTGATGCTTGCACTCACTGGGTATTTATGCATCAACATTTGTATTTTTACATTAGCCAATGGGCTTTTCTTAATAGCCTAAATAAAGACTTAAAGCATGAATTGTCCACTAAAGAATTACATAAATCACTGGATACATGAATGTCAATGTGTGTTAGGATGGATGACCACTTGCAGGAATATGGCGATAAGCTGGTTTCCATCGATTCCACAAGGAGGTCGCCTCTAGGGGATGGATCTCTGAGAGGGGGGAGGCTGCTGAGAAAGAAGAGCAACCGATGCAGCTCGGAAAAATTGCCGTACGTCTTTAGAAAGGGGTTCACTGGCTGAGACCTGTGGTTAGTTCCAGTGTCCCAGTGAACGTGCATTTCAGTGACCAGTTGTTTGTCTGTTTTGCTAATCCAGCCAGAGGTAGAGCTCTGTCTCTCTGGATTATAGAAGCTATCTCACTGGTGTAAAGCACCAAAGGTCTTTCTTTGTCCCAGGGGCATAAGAGCTCATTCCACCAGGGGAATGGCAACCCCATGGGCTCTTTTTTTTTTAAAGGGGTTCCCATAGCTGATATTTGTGCTGCAGCTAGTTGGGCATAACCACACACTTTAGTGCGGTTCTATTGTTTGGACATTACACCTCCTTCAGTGGCTTATGCTGTCCTTTTATTAAATTCCGGTTCTTTTGGATTCTTTAGGGCCAAGA